GGTATTTGTATGTGGATCTTGGGTTATTCGGGTTTTCTCCCACGTAAGATTGGAAATATCTAGGCAACGTTTCGATGAAGTCTCATTCATCATCTTCAGGCTTGTGTCTTCGGATGTGGTTGTGCCGCATCTTCATGGTGGGTGTCAGTTATCTTCATATATGGCTTGGAGGGGTTTGAAGTGGGTAATGATGCAGCTGCAGTGCGGCTTCTGGTCCATGGTCGTGTCTCATCTTCTGTGTGGGTGTGGGTCTGCTTTCTACGTGGAAGTGTGGTGGTGGCATCTTGTGTAGCCCTCATGGGTGTGGGTCTGGTGTCATTCTTCATGTTAGGTACTCATCTGTTCATGAGGGCGGGTTTCCAAATGGCTGGTAGGCGGGAGGTGTCATCTCGTTTGTTCATGCTGTGTGGGCATTTTTCTATCTCTATGGCTTCTCTGATTATTCTGCTGTTGAAGTGTTCGGTTTAGGTGATAGTTCTGGTATTTTTAAAGTCAATCTCATGTCCTGTGGCTTTGAGGTGTTGGACCAGGGAAGAGGTCAGTTCTTCTTTTTTGAAACCCCAACCAAAATCCAAGAAAGAGAACAAGAGAACAGCAAAGCCCTCCTCCCATATATAAAAGGCACTACAGACAAAATCAGCAAGATCCTCCAAAAACACAACATTAAAACAGCATTCTGCACAAACAGAAAAATATCCACCATCCTAAGAAACCCTAAAGACGAAATCGAGTTAGAAAACCAAGGAGTATACGAAATCCCTTGCACTGCCTGCCCCACCACATACATTGGACAAACTAACAGAAGAATAAGTGCACGCATTGAAGAACATAAGAACTCAATCAAAAAACACTAATTACTAGAACCAAACGCCTGGCAGACAAGACACACTTTAAGACTGAACTATGCACCCTGACTAAAGTACTGACAGCCAACGGCTTCCACAAAAGCAAAATCACTGGCTTGATCCACAAAAACACACTGAGACATAATAGAGACCCAGAAGATGAACAGACCTGGAACAGCTGTCCTGCCCTACATAAGAGGTACTACAGACAAAATTAGTAAGATACTACACAGACATCACATCAAGACTTCCTTCAAAACAGACAGAAAAATAGCAGCCATCCTTAGAAACCCCAAAGATAAAATTGACCTGGAAAACCAAGGCATATACGAAGTCCCCTGTGCATCATGCCCAGCCACATACATTGGACAGACCAATAGAAGAATAAGTACCCGCCTGGATTAACACAAAAATACAGTCAAAAAGCTGGAACACACTTCCTCACTAGTCCAACACATGGAAGCCACAGGTCATACATCAACTTCAATGGCACCAAAACCCTAGCCACTATAGAAAACCCCAGCCACAGAATCATCAGAGAAGCCATAGAGATTGAAAAAAGACCAGAAAGCTTGAATAGAAGAGATGATTCCACCAGACTGTCAATCATTTGGAAGTCTGCACTCACAAACAAAAAAATCTCCACACCACAAGCCAGGCAAACACCTGGGCACAAACAGATCCCTCCTGATACCTCCAGCTCAAACACACCCCAACCAGGCACCCAGATGAAACCTAGCTTCCTAACTAATGATAGCCGTCCATTTACCTGGAGCCAAGCTGCACTAAAGGCCTCCAATAAAGTAAGACAATGTTGCCAGCCAATCAAGATACAAAAAGAGCCAAAAAACAGACAGAAGATATTAGAAACACCAATCAAGCAGAACACAGCAAACTCCAAGACCAATAAACACAGACCAAGACTCCCAACCAATCAGGATAAAGAAAAAACCATTGTGGCACAGCAAAAGGCTGCCCCAAATTTAAATCTGAAACCACTGTAAAAGTCTGACTCACAGATGAACACTATACAGAAGCCTGATGATGGCAGATGAGATTCTGCCGAAATGTTGCTACAACTTTAAAAGCACAACTACAATGACGTGGGAAAATACCCAAACAAAGCTGAATGGCCATACATGTAAGTACCCGCAAAAACTTAAGAAAATAAATAAATAAATATATATATATATATTTGTTTGGGTATTTTCCCACGTCATTATAGTTGTGCTTTTAAAGTTGTAGCAACGTTTCAGCAGAATCTCATCTGCCATCATCAGGCTTCTATATATATATAGAATATATATATTCTAAGATATATATATATATATAGCTTAGAGAGTTAAGATTTGAACTGAAGTTAAGGAATCAATAGAAGAAAATATTTGTAGCTCAGGATTGAACTGTGGGGGTCCTTACTGCTCTCTGAACTGAGTTGTTTTGTTACAGACATTTCATTATGAACTAGGTAATATCATCAGTGCACAAGGACCTCATAGTTAAGAAATCACTGATTCAATTCATATTTCAGATTCAATCTCCCAGCAATCTGCTGTTAATACATTACTTCCGTGTATTGTATATGGGCAATAATGCTGACATATTTTACAAAGTGGTCATAGAAATATTAATATCATATTTAGAGAAATGTATTGTATATGGTAATACACATACACACACACCAACTGGTATTTTCTTCCAGACATTGATTCCAGTCATAGTAAATATTAGTACCATATTTGAGTATTATGCAACAGACATCAATTTGGTTCTTGGCTAGAATAGCAAGACAATGTGAAATAAGTTTATATTCAGGTTTCTGTAAGACAACCTCAAGGCAGAAAACCTTCATTATCTGATGAAGAATTCTGCTCTCTAAGGTAACCAAATAGGTAGCACCCTGGAGAGCTCCAAAGTATACTGTAATTTCCATCAAGAAACCCTTGCCTGAATTTAAGGAGGGCCATAGTTTTGATGATTAGCAGTGCCTCCAGCTGTCAAATTCTTGAACACAAACCAAGGAAGCAAGAAGCACACAGATTCCAGTAAGGTATCTTTATTATTACTCTGGGATACAGGCTCCACCAGTATTCATTATTTCTCCAGTTTCTTCCTCCATCTTCCCTGAGTCTTTTCCGCTGCCTGGGTAGACCAGGTAAGCTGCCAGAGCTCAGGACCCCAGACAGCAACTCCAGTTTGGAGCCTTAGACTTTTGAGAGCCGGTTAATGTCAATGTTTCAAGTAATACATCCCCTTCAATAAGAGCTCTGAAGCAGGCATATTCCTCAAAGAACATTTTATTGGGACATATCAAATGGACACAGATTTGGTGGAAAACTGGTCTTAAGTTCCCGCTGGTATTACACCCAATTAAAAGTAAAACTTTGTCATTTCCCCCTAGAATCTCCAGTCACATGGTCCAATCAGCAATCAGTTGATAGGTGACCTCAGTCTCCATCTTTTGAACACCTGCACAAACATCCTTGATTCCCAGGGGAAATAATTTTATTTAGGCTACAACACCTCAGTTATCTCTACACCTCCCTCCCTGGCCCCTTAGCTCCAGGCTGTGTCAATTCTGAAGCAATGTGAAGAGAAATCCCCTTAGACGAAAACTAAAAGGAGAAAATGGCCAGTTAGGGTCGACAGTACTATTGCTAGCTTCAGGGCTGACAGTACTATTGCTATATTATGTATATTAACTTTTTTCTTCTTGCTCCTTATCTCAAATTATTCCAATTTCTATATTCTTTCTCTCTTTCCTTATCCCCCTTTTTTATTAATTTGTGGGGGGTGGGTAGGAACATTATAGGTCTTTGAATGGATTGACCCTCAGTTGGATAGGTGATGGAAACAATGTTCTAAACTCTATTCTATTGAGTGCTGCTAAATTTGGGATGAATCTTCATGTTGCTACTCCAAAGGTAAGTGAATTTTACTGTTATAAACAGAAGTCAGTTTGTGATGCTTCAATGTTTAAAAGATTTTAAACATAGAATGAGATGTTCAGAAGAGGTAACTCATTTTTTTGCCTACTATGTCTAGTCATGGAGTTTAACTATGAGGAACTGATGAACCAGAAATAATTTAAAAGATAGCATATTATAACTTGTCCACATTTTGCAAATATGACTTGCAAATATTTGCTACCAAATATTTCACCTTATTCCCTTTTGAGAGCACAAGGAGGGCACAGTGTGCAAGTGAGCACAGGGAGGTCAGGAAAGAAGGGCATGGGATGCATGCAAGCATGTGTGCAAATGCAGGGAGGCCCAAAAAAGCATGCTGAGATGCAGGAATGCAGCCGGGGTGGGGGGGAGAACTTACCAGACCGACTTGCAACTTTCCCTGCTCATTTCCTTATTAACTTGGTTTGTGGAAACTGGCAACAAAGCCTGCAAGTAGTGGTCATGTGACTGTGGAACATTGCTGCAATCATTGTAAACATGAGGTGGCTGCCAAGCATCTGAACTGTAATCATATGACTGGGGTGCTCCAATGGCTGGGATTTTGAGGACCAGTACTAAATACCACTTATCCAGTGTCTTTCCAATTTCTAATTGACAGGGGGTCCTGCTGAATGATAAGTCAGTAAGCAAAGACTACCATATAGATGTCTAGAAATGATTCTATACAGCAAAAAGTTCAACCATTTGATTAAAAAATAGAATGATTTTTTAAGCTCTATCCATATTTCAGTTCAAACCATAACCAAAACAGCCCCATCTTTATCATTGTACTTGAAAAGAAAGATTATTGGCATTATATAATAGTAACAACTTACCAAGTGAACATGACAGTCCTTGAAGGAGGGTGGAAAGTATTATACACTGCTCAAAAAATAAAGGGAACACAAAAATAAGACATCCTAGATCTGAATGAATGAAATATTCTTATTAAATACTTTGTTCATTACATAGTTGAATGTGCTGGCAACACAATCACACAAAAATTATCAATGGAAATCAAATTTAGCAACCCATGGAGGTCTGGATTTGGAGTTACACTCAAAATTAAAGTGGAAAAAAACACTACAGGCTGATCCAACTTTGATGTAATGTCCTTAAAACAAGTCAAAATGAGGCTCAGTAGTGTGTGTGGCCTCCACATGCCTGTATGACCTCCTTATAATGCCTGGGCATGCTCCTGATAAGGTGGCAGATGGTCTTCTGAGGGTTCTCCTCCCACACCTGGACAGCTATGGTGCAACATGGTGTTGGTGGATGGAGCGAGACATGATGTCCCAGATGTGCTCAATTGGATTCAGGTCTGGGGAATGGGCGGGCCAGTCCATAGCATCAACACCTTCGTCTTGCAGGAACTGCTGACACACTCCAGCCACATGAGGTCTAGTATTGTCTTGCATTAGGAGGAACCCAGGGCCAACCGTACCAACATATGGTCTCACAAGGGGTCTGAGGATCTCATCTCGGTACCTAATGACAGTCAGGCTACCTCTGGCGAGCACATGGAGGGCTGTGCGGGCCCCTAAAGAAATGCCACCCACACCATTACTGACCCACTGCCAAACCAGTCATGCTGGAGGATGTTTCAGGCAGCAGAACATTCTCCACAGTGTCTCCAGACCCTGTCACGTCTGTCACATGTGCTCAGTGTGAACCTGCTTTCATCTGTGAAGAGCACAGGGCACCAGTGGTGAATTTGATGATCTTGGTGTTCTCTGGCAAATGCCAAACTTCCTGCACGGTGTTGGGCTGTAAGCACAACCCCCATCTGTGGATGTCAGGCCCTCATACCACCCTCATGGAGTCTGTTTCTGACCGTTTGAGCAGCCACATGCACATTTGTGGCCCACTGGAGGTCATTTTGCAGGGCTCTGGCAGTGCTCCTGCTGTCCCTCCTTGCACAAAAGCAGAGGTAGCGGTCCTGATGCTGGGTTGTTGCCCTCCTACGGCCTCCTCCACATCTCCTGATGTACTGGCCTGTCTCCTGGTAGTGCCTCCATGCTCTGGACACTACACTGACAGACACAGCAAACCTTCTTGCCACAGCTCGCATTGATGTGCTATCCTGGATGAGCTGCACTACCTGAGCCAGTTGTGTGGATTGTAGACTCCGTCCCATGCTACCACTAGAGTGAAAGCACCACCAGCATTCAAAAGTGACCAAACCATCAGCCAGAAAGCACAGGAACTGAGAAGTGGTCTGTGATCACCACCTGCAGAACCACTCCTTTATTGGGGATGTCTTCCTAACTGCCTCTGCTTTCCACCTGTTGTCTATTCCATTTGCACAACAGCATGTGAAATTGATTGTCAATCAGTGTTGCTACCTAAGTGGACAGTTTGATTTCACAGAAGTATGATTGACTTGGAGTTACATTATGTTGTTTAAGTGTTCCCTTTATTTTTTTGAGCAGTGTATTTTAAGACATGCCACTTATTGTATATGTAGAAAGCCCAAGTTAAATGTGTTCAGTACCTACCAATCACCTAGGCAACTATAATGAAAACTAGAGAATCATTTTATTTCCTGATAGACACTTATCAGGGAACAAACTTTTATTTGGTATAAGTTAAATTGTGACATAACATACATTTCAGCATTTCCTTTTACCCTGTTAGGTAGAGAGATTAGCTCATTTTCAGAATGTTAAATCAAGTTTTATCAATATTAGAATATATTGTAATATGTTTCTTCTCATTTGATAGGGTTTTGAGCCAGATCCCACAGTAATCAAAATAGCTGAAGAATATTCTATAAAGGTATGAGCACTACATTTTAAAATGTGACTTCTAGTCTACAGCAAGTTAACTTAGCATATCTCTTTTCCTTTATCTGATCAGTATGGCACCAAATTGCTTCTGACAACTAACCCACTGGAAGCTGCTAAGGGGGCCAGTGTTTTGATAACAGACACATGGATAAGTATGGGGCAAGAAGAAGAGAAACAAAAGAGACTAAAGGCTTTCCAAGGTTATCAAATAACAATGCAGGTAAATATGTTTTTCTTTCATTCTGTGGTTTATTGATTCTTAAAAATTAGCTTCAAAAATACCACTAAGGATTTGCTAACTTATTTGGGAAAAATTAAAGAAGATATCTATTTTGATTAAAACTTTCAGTTATTTTGAAGAAATTGCACAATGCCACAAGAATGACCAGTTCCTATTAAGGGGAAGAAGAGACTAAAAATTAATCTAATCTAGTTTGAAGATGCCCCCTGGGAAGTTTTGCTGTCCAATTTGAATCCAATCTTATTATTGACAGTATGGAATAATTAATAATTAGACCATGTGTTGTGGGCAGTAAATTATATATTTATTGCACTTATAATGTTTAGATTCATATGAGTTAGAATTTATACAGATTAGAAACTAAGTTCTACGAAGACAGAACCTTTTTTTTTAAACATAAAATTTCTTTATATACTTGATATCCTGTATCTATATCATATGGATATGGCAAAAAGTAAGAGATATCTGTTCTTTACAATGTGGTGTAATTTTCCATCTCCCTTAGTAGAGTGCAATAAATCATGGATTATTAAATACATGGAATGCATGTGGATGGAGGAATAGATTCCACTGTAAAAGGGTGGGGGGCAGGGGCTGTGGGAAATCTACAGTACATTAGTTCTAAATGCATGAAGATCCTAACATAAAATATTAGCAATTTTCTAAACTAAAAACTAAATTAGTATTATGTGAAATATAAGTAAAATGTATATTTTATGTATAAAACTAAAGCTCATTTTACTTCTATCAACTCTCATGTTAATGAGATTTTTAATGAGTATAAACATGCTCTGTTTATTAGACATTATTTGTAGATTTTGGATTGCTTGTACCAAGCTGTGTGATATTTTCTTATTAACAGCTGTGCAGTCAGTGTTTATTTTATTTTCTCTAAATTTTTCTGTCTATTTGTAAAATCTTCTGATTAAACCTTGCTAATACACTTACTGCAATTAAAAAAAACCCAGGCAATAGGTTTCTATACATTAAAATTAGATCTGGGACCTCCAATTTTAATTTTAGATGCAGTTGCATTTACTTGTTTGAGATGGGTGAGCAATCTGATAGTAGTCTTAGATCCTCAGCTCATGCTCAAAAGCAGTGCCAGCTTCGGCCAAGAATATCTTTGCACATCTGGGGAGCTAGTTGCACCCATTCCTGGATAAGTAATCCCTTGAGATGGTCACTTATGCTTTAATCATCTCACGATTGGACTCTTGGTAGGTGCTTTACATGGGAGTACCCTTAAAGATCAATTAGAATCTACATCTTGTCCAGAATGCAACAATGTGGGTAGTGATGGGCATGTCTTGGTTTACACATATAACACTACTGCATGAGCTACACTGGTTGCGTTTAAGTTTCCAGGCCCAATTCCAGGTGTTAGTTATCATATTGAAAGCATTTCATGGCACAGGGCCTGACTATTTCAGGTCCACCTATCTTCCATGGTTTCTGACCATCCAATATGGAACATGACATAATAATATGTGTTTTAAAACAGCTGAACCATTTTTATTGCTACCATTTAATAGCTGCCAGGTTATAACAATGATATTCCAGGTGGGTATGCATCTCTCTCTCTCTCTCTCTCTCTCCATTAATCCTTTTTGTTATACTGTATAGTGTTTATTCATGTACTGTATCACATGCCCACAGACATACACACAGATTCTTAAAGCATTTTTATATGTTCTTTTGGCTTTGTAAAAGTTGAGTGTGAAGTAGAAGAGGATATTTGTGTTTTGTCTGCAACATTTACTATCAACCACTGTTTCACATGCAATTCAATTGCACAGAATAAGGAATTTACGATAACTGAAAAACAAAAATACCAGATAATTTATATTTAATTTAAAGCTTACAGTATAGTGTTATGCAGCACTTCAAATATGCACAGGCAAAAAAGTAGTTTATAATGCTTAAAGGAAAGAATGCAATAGTTTTTTATAATTCCTTAAACCAGTGGTGGGATTCAAATAATTTAACAACCAGTTCTCTGCCCTAATGATTTCTTCCAACAACCAGTTCACCAAACTGCTCAGAAAGTTAACAACCGATTCTCCCAAACTGGTGAGAACTGGCTGAATCCCACCACTGCCTTAAACCAAACCCACCTTTTTATAGGTTAGTTCTGTAGCTAGAAAGAGCAACTGTACAATCCTGGAGAAAGATGCAGCTTTCAGGTACTAACACAAGGAAACAAGTTTTTACCTTTAAATTTGAAGCATTGTGCAGCCTTATTTACATTATCACAATCATGCTATAGTTATCAATAATTTCCACTTTTAATAAATATGGTAAGTCGTACATCTTTCCAACTGTCAACTTTTAAGAGATATCTTGATATAAAAGTTGCATTATTGGTGATATATATACACACATACACACACACCACAATATATAATATGCTGCCCATGCCACTGATGGGAGAGAGAGAGAGATTATAAATTACAGACAACACTGTCCAGAGTTGCTTTCTTAGTGAGATGCACAGTTTCTACATTTAATACATAAATAAAAACAAAGTTGTTTTTCCTTTTATTGCAACATTACTTACTAATGAGATTCAAATATATGTAGTTCTTCTGAATATTTAGACTGCGCAAGAGGCTGCTTCTGATTGGACTTTCTTACACTGCTTACCCAGAAAGCCAGAAGAAGTTAACGATGAAGTATTTTATTCTCCAAAGTCACTGGTTTTTCAAGAAGCTGAAAACAGGAAATGGACTATTATGGTATGGACATTGTAATCACTTAGATGCGAGCAATTCTGTTCTTTAGGTGATGGAGCTTTATAGGCAATCCTTGACTTACAACAGTTCATTTAGTGATTGTTTGAAGTTACAACAGCCACTGGAGAAAAGTGACTTATGATCATTTTTCACACTTACAACCATGGCAGCATTGCCATGGTCATGTGATCAAAATTAGATGCTTGGCAACTGACTCATATTTATGACAGTTGCTGTGTCCTGGATCATATAATCACCTTTTGCAACTTTCTGACAAGCAGAAAGATTTACCTAACAACCATTTACTAACTTAACAATTGCAGAGATTCACTTAATAACTGTGGCAACAAAAGTTGTGAAATGGGGTAAAATTCACTTAACAAATGCCTCATTTAGTAAAAGAAATTTTGGGATCAATTGTGGTAAGTCAAGTACCACCTGCACTCTATTTTTCTTTTTGATACTTGGAATCATACCAACTATCCAATTTATATATTAAATTGAGGCCTGCAGTATTAATAATTATTTTAGCCTTGACTAAATCATCTTCAGGTGTTTATGCTTAATAGCAAAAAGGACACAAATGGGCTTTTCCAACACTTGTTTGACGAATATGGATGAGAGGGAGAGGCAGGACTGAGTATTAAAAATAAGAACAAGACAAGGCAAGGAAGTTTTGATGGATGTAGTCTCATTATTATGTATTAGACACACTTGTTGATCAATGGATAATTGGCTAAGTTTGAACAAATTACCTCTTACAAATTCATGATAGTCAACATGGAGGGAAGAACTTCGTTTAGGGTTATTTAGAAGGCAGCAGCACCCCTAAGTTAAGGCCAAGTTGGTAGCATCAATAACATGAGCTGACAATATTTTTTAAAAAAATCTCTTAAAAATCTCATCACTGACTCTTCCATTATAAGGTCCATGTCCCTTCTCCCTTTGTTATGTGACCCAGAGTTGTTATGGGGTTAATTGTAGCTTTCTCTACACAGTATTGCTTTTTTCTAGATTCTTGTTCCCTGCTGTCAAATATATTTTTTAAGATAAGCAAATCTATCACCGCAAAAGCAGGTGATGTTCATTAACTCATTCTACAGAGTTAGACAAATTCTTTGCTGATAAGGCTATCATTGGCTACAATGATGTTGTATGCTACCTGCAAGATTACAAATGGCAGACCTTTGAACTCCATTTGCCAGCAAGCTGTATTAGGAAAAGCTTTTATTTTCTTGTCTTATCTGTAACGTTCTCATGGATATCTAGTTAGCCTTTTGGGAAAATGTGATACTGGACTAGATGCAACTTGGTTTTGTTCAGCAATGTTTTTATGCATTGACTTACTAATATTGATATAAAGGGACACTGCATATATGTTCTACTTTATTATCAATTTACTGATACTTCCAATGCTGTCTGCAAACATTGAGTTGGATTTTGGTACCAATGAAAATTATGGGCTGAATTAGTCATGGCCCATTCTATATCCAATTGATTTGTTTTGGTTATTAATTTAACAAACTAAACCCACACTATATATGTAATAGTTTTTACTAGTGTAATTGTATTAATTCTCTCTTCTAGGCTGTCATGGTTTCCCTGCTGACAGATTATTCACCACAGCTTCAAATGCCTACATTTTGATTTTGAGGTTTCTTTCACAGAAAATATTATTTACAGCAAATAATTTGCTTTATAAAGGAACTTTTTCTTTGAAAAGCAAGATCAAATCAGTGATAATTATTTAACAATATATAAACATGTTATATTTTCACAGTGGGTCTTTTATTTAAAAAATGCAGCTGCACTTTTTTCTATTGCCTACCTCTTTTGTAGTCTGCATTTTGATTAGATTCCCATATATTTAGTATTTTAGCAAATGTGGATCATTTCAAAATCACATTGTCTGGTATAATTCATTTGATGAGATATATATATATATATATATATACACACACATACATACACACACACATATATATTCATAACACTTAATGTTGAACTGAATAACTTCACATCCCAGATTAAAATGACCCCTAAGCTGCTTTCATGCAAATGACTAGCTGTCTGCAAGGAGTATAAATCCTTCCATTCCCCACTATCCTGTCAGAGCTGAAGAAGCTTCTTGCATGTGAAGTGAAAGAAAAAACTAAGAAGTCCAGTTGCTTCCTGAAAAATCACCTTTAGGACAACCATGAGCTGGATGATTGAGAATCTCTACAGACTTTTGAGCTATACAATTTGGGATGAACACTCTTTGAATGGTGTGCGAGTAGGAATGGATTTCCAGAGGAAAAAATTGCAGACTATAGAAACCAAGAGCACTACTCAGGTGATCCTGAGGAGACAGATAAACCTCCAAGTGCTTCAATGACCCTCTAAAGCAGGGGTGTCAAACTTGCGGCTCACAGACCGATCCATCACGTGCTGGCCACAGCCATGCCTGGTTTAACGAAGGGGAAAAAAGTTGTGATTCATCGTGTGATGACCTGAGTTTGACTACCCTGCTCTAAGTCTAAAAGAATGCAAATGACCAGCTGTCTGCAAGGAGTATAAATCCTTCCATTCCCCACTATCTTGTCAGAGATGAAGAAGCTTCTTGGATGAGAAGTGAAACGTCTTCAAAGAAGAAACAAGAAAATCCAGTTGCCTCCTGAAAAAGTACCTTTGGGACTGCTTTTATGGAGCTTTCCTGGCTCTTCCTGACATGAAATAATAATGTAAAGACATGAAAAACAAATATCAACTGTAACATAATTTTTCAAATGCATTCAACATCTTTTTTAAAAATCCCCTTCCAATAGGTCTACATTATAAGCCATAATAGCAACAAAATCATGTGTTATGATTATGTAATTTGCAACAGTTGCATTATAATGTTCGATGCAAGTAAATAAATTGCATTGTTTTCATAATAAACTATAATGTTGTGAATGCCTGTGCCTTTCCTACCTATTCTAAGTAAAAACAGAAAATTCTGGCTCCACCCACATGGTGATGCATTCCCACGTAATTTGTATCCCCTCCCACTATAGTCCCAACAACAAAAATTGCCTCTTTATTTTAATTGTGTATTTTACAAATTATAAATTTGGAAGTGAAGTCTGCAACCAATAAACAGGAAAACTAAAATCTAACAAGCAATGTTGCAGAGGAGTTCCATTTCTGTACCTACTGGGCTCCATATAAAATCCTTAAAGTAGTTTTTGGATGCTTTAAAGACTACAATGTATTTAAGTTGCTAGAAGACCCTACAGTAATATATTTGGAAGAACAATTTTAAACAAATAGTCATAATACTGTATGCATTTAAGCAGCTAAGGGATTTCTCTCTTTTCATGCATTCCATGTTTTCCCAAATGCTTATAGTCACTAAGACCCAAATTTCCAAGAGAATGCAAATTATTGCAGTGGAAATGCTGACTTTTTCATGGCACGTTATTTCACTTAACAGTATATCCTATGAGGCAGTTCTCTTGAGAGATTTAATTTTCTTGAAGTTTGCACAATATGTTTGCAAAATTTAACTTATTTTTGCCATATGTTGAAAAATATGCATGAAGGAAGCCTTATTTGCTTGTTTGAAAATAATGGAGCTACTGCATCTACTATGAACATGTTTTGATTATTTAAAAAGTGGTCTAACACTCAATTAGCTGTTTAAGGAATAATTATCTTTGACTTGGTTTGAATCAGGGATTGCCAATTTCAGCTGAATGTCTATACTAGTGTTGGCAAATCTTTTTGGTACCGAGTGCCAAAATGGGTGTGGGCACGTGCATGCGCACGTCGAAAATCAGATCTTCTGGTTTTCGGCATGGGCATGTGCACTGGTCACCTAGTTTGCTAGTTTCTGGCACACATGCATGCGCAAAGGCCAGTTGTCCTGTGCACATGTGCCGACTCCGCCTTGCCTTTTGGGGGTCCTTGTGCCTCCCTCCCCCCCGGTCCCCATTGGGGTGGCGGGACATACACATTGTGGCCTCCCTCCGCTGAAAAGTCAGAGCCCCTTTCTGGCCTCAGAACAAGCCAGCACAGCTACCCACCTCTCCCACCACTTCTTCCAAGGGAGCGCAACAGCTTCCTGGCCAGCATGCCTCTTCCTAGTTGGTGTGCTGTCCCTGGCGTTCCTCCCACCCGGCTCAGCTCCTGTGCAGCCCTGCCTCCCCAGAAGAGCAGCTGCTGCAGCAGCAGTGGCTGTCAGGATTCCGGCACTTAACCCAATTTAAATCATGAGTTTTGGGCCAAACTTCCAAAACAAAAGGATTTATTGGGAGTTAAAAGGCCCGTCATTGCCTGGGTGTAGCTGACTCTGAGACACATCATTGTCACCCTTGTCTCTGGTTTTCCCCCACCCGTCTGGGTGTATCGTAATTCATATTCTCCAATGGGACACATCCATAATCAAGAGTCATCAATCATGTGCTCCAGTTAGAATTTTTTTAAATCAAATTTTACTCAGTTTTTTCACATTAAAAACAAAAATCTCTTTTTACTGGACAACATATTTCCAGGTCATCACCTTTACATACAAATATGACAGCAATTATACATTCATATATGCATACTTAATTCTATTATTACCTTTTCCATTCCAAATTTTCAGTAAGGAGAGAAACAAACACATTAATTCTAGCCTCTTTCATTAATCTCAATCGAAACATCTTTCTGTTTCATTTCAATTATTTCAAATATAATCCTTTAATATTTATTTTAAAAATAAAGATAAACAATATGTGTTTGCCTAATAATAATAATAATAATAATAGGTTACCAATGTCTCTCCTTGCTTTTAATAGTCTATATTAACTTATTAATTTAGTTGGTTCTTTAGTCTGTTATATTTCCTTTCCATTACACATTCTTTTTATAAATTCTAGATTAATACAAATTTTAACACTTAAGGAAAAAAAACAAGTATAGGTTTCCCCCCTTTTACTGCTTTGAGTGTGACACCTCAATGATTAAAATATACCTTTATTCCCTCATCTTGATTCCCAATGAACCATTATTTTTAAGAAGTTACAATAATAATCATTACATCTTTTCATTTGGATTCCGCAGCATATTTTCCCCCCTTTTAATAAAAGTTATCAGTATTTATATTACCCTATTTTCTAAATATTTTTAATTGCAGAAATATTCTTATTACCCCTTGCCACCCTGCAGAATCCCCTTTTTTATTCATCAACCATTATCTCTGAAAAAACAATTTCTTTTCAACATTTTACTGTTTCCGTATTTCTTTATTTCATGCATCTGTTTCTTACTGCTTCTCCTTCCCCTCTTTTCCCCATATCTTTTCTCATTCCAGTTTATACCCCTCTCTTTCTTAATATCTTCCTTTCCCCTTTTCTTCTGGGTCTTTCTTCCTTTCTTCTGCTGGGTCTTTCTGCCTTTCCTGACTTCACAGGTATTCCCCCTTTTAATTGCCTTCTTAAATCTCAACTTTTTAACCTTCCTTCTTTCCCCACTTCTTTGTAACATTCTTTGTGTTAATTGTCTATTTAAAATGTCTTCTCCTTGAGTCAACGCCTCCTCCTCTGAAGCTCTTTCATCTTGTTCTTCAATCGCCATTTCCATTTTTTCTAACACAGAACAAAGTGATTCGCCTCTTTCCTGTAGTAATTCTTTCATATTTTTAAGTTCCATTTTTAATTCCTGAAGAGATATCATCATTACACACTCTTGTATTTTATGATTGTTAAAGTCCACAAAAAAACCACTTTTACTTTCCTTCTTTCTTCTTTCACTTTTCTAAAGTTCTCAATTATTCCAGCCCAGGGTCTATACCAAAAACATCAATCAATCCCACAGTCAGTCTTTCCTTGCTTTTTACTTTATTCTGGTTCTGCTTTCACTTTCTAAGATTCTTACTTTGTTTCAATATTTCTTTAATGTTATATCCACACAAGTTCATTCAGAAACAGGATGCTTTCCCTTTTGTTTGAGCTCAAGTTTTTATCAAAAGGTGGCACTCTCCATTATACAAAGTCTTCATCTTTCCCCCCTATTTTTTTGTTTAGGGTTTTTTGAACCTCAATATTCCAGCACAGTCCAGTCTCCAATTTGTAAACTTTATTATTATTTTTTGACAATCTTAAGTCCAGCTTTATTTTATGCCTGTTTATTCCCAAAATATTTTTGTCCAATTTAGTTAAATCTTTAGTTCGGCTTCTTCCTTTCACGGTTCGAAGCCCCGCTTAGATGTCAAAAATATTTTCTTATTTTTTTCCTGTCCCTTTGTAATTTTACCACTCACTTTTCTTTTTTAAAAAATTCCATGTTACCTTAATCTCGGGGTACTTTTGTTTAGTTGTATTGCCCAGTTGTCCCAGTTCAGATGTTATCCACCTCTTTCTTCCCTCCTGCACAAATCTTAATCCAGCTGAGTCCTCCTCTTCGGGGTGGCCATTTTAAACCACTGCTGCTGTCGTCTTCGGGGGAAAAAGACCAAGCCCAGGAGGGGAGATGCAGCTCCCCTCAACCTGTCTTGTGGCTTCCCCTTACTCCGCCGCCCCTCCAAGGCAGCTTCAGCCCCTAATCGTAATGATTGGGGCTCTCCAACAAAAGAGCACAGACCATAGCTGCAGAGAGTCGTGATCTATGGTCTGTCAGCGAGGAGGCCCTGCCTTCTTCCTGCTCCAGTTAGAATTTTGTGTGGCAGAAACTTTGGTCACCTAGTTACTATCTTTGAAAACATTTATAAAATGCAGCTGCCACAGTGCTCCCCCT